CTGATGAAGAAACAAACTCATCTACATCTTGGATGGCCTTGAGGGTGAGTAGTACATTTAAAGCAAACTTTCATTTTTGTGTGAACTATTCCTTTGAACTCTCACCTTGGCTCTGTAGCTTGTGGGGATTGATGTTCTTTTCTTTCCTGCATTATCTCTGCCTTCTGATATGGTTGGCAAAGGTCTGCCTTTAACTTTTCTGTAATGACACAGAAAGCCTTTACGTTATTATACCGAAGCATAAACATAACTGCGTACCAGAAATGCCTTTAAAACCCTTTGATCTCACAGGACCACACTCTACCTTACTACTGATTTTGCTCCTTTATTTGTTGGCTGAGGTGGTTCCTGGTTCTCTTTGGATGAAGCTTTCTTATTCAATGCGTCAGAAACAGCTTTGCCTATTTTCTTAGCCTGAGTAACTGCTGTCTTATCAGTGTCCGTTACACTAAGAACAGGCTTCCTAGCTCGCAGTCGACCCAACTTCTCTGGAGCAGACTTTTGGTTCTGTTCTGGTCCAGGACTGAGATCTTCTTCCAAAGCTGTGCTGTGAAGGGGGTTCCCTGCAAAAGACAGCAAGAACTGCATAAAGTCACTTTTGATATTACTTTATATTACTTTCAGACGTTGTTTTCAAAAAGTGATGACCACTTGCTTTTTATGCCATCAATATAACAACATTACATTTAGCTTTTCTCCCCAAACTACAGTATGCTTATTACAGGGTTGTCATACCATGAGGAGAATACTGGTCTCCATGAAAGAAACTGGTTTTCTCTATGGATGAAATGTCCAGGGGCTGTGGAGACTCCACCGCATTATCACTGCTCTGTTTTGCACCCTAAGAAAAGACGGAACTTAATTAACAACAAATTCTTTCAATTGTGTCCAAACTTTAAGTGCATATTATTGCATATATCATGGTTCGTACAGATACTGTACAAATAAATTCCAGGACTTTTCAAGCACTACTTTTTTGGTTTTCAAGGACTACAGAGATATCACTCATCAAACAATATTTTTTACTATCTTTCAAATTCTAAAAAAGGTAAATAGATAAATAAAAATTAGGGCTGTCACAATTATTAAATTTGGCAGAGGATTAATAGTCTAAAATATATGATTATGCTGCTTAATTTCAGTTTTAGAGCTTTGATGATTAATTGTCTTTTTTAGGGCTTGGTCAAACATTTTTTTGAGCGCTTCATTCATTAAATAATTGTGATGAATTGAATCCTTTATAAGTGATCATTTTACAGTATAAGACTACAGTTAACACCGTTAAATATTAATTTATTCAATTCAGTAAATAACTGAAACAATCACAACAAATTGGCCAATCATAGAAAAGGCCTTAAATGTATAATTCATATTATATATACACGTATATAAAACAATCCAGAACGCAAATGGTATAAGTCAGCAGTTTTGAACGGATGACAGCAAAGTTTGTCTTGAAAATGTCCTACAAGTCATGGGGAAAAAAGGATGTTATTCATAATTTCATATCAAATAAATAACACTATATGGAAATAAGTGTCTAACAATGAAGATAAATCTCTCTCATGCTATTATTAAGAGTTGTTTTTCTTAATTTTTGCTGTCACACCATAAGACTCATTTACGGTACAGTTCAGTAAAAATGTACAAAATAATAAAAAACAGCGAAAGAATTGACAAAGTTAGTGACCCCTTATATTTTCTCAAACATCAGACTTCACACTACATAAATATATGTATTTCTTCTTCAAAAATGGTCTTTTACAAAAAACATTTTTACTGCCTATTTATCACCTACCCACACGTATACAAGTATTATATATGTCATATTAATAAGTTACATTAAATATTCTATTATATACTAAACAACAACAATAAAAATATAATATTTGTCATTACATAACATTAACATTGGTGATATTAATATTATGTTTGAGGAATAACAAACAATAAAAAATAAGACAATCTAAGAAATATAATATATAATACATGTATAATATTACATATATGCCATACTACTATGAAATATTACATTATCATAAAGAACAAAAATAAATTCGTATAAATACTGGTGGCACTAAAATGACATGTTTCAATAATTACAAGTAAAAAATATATATATACAAATAATAAGTATAATATAATCATATGAATATTAGACACTATATTTTATCTCATAAATAAGAACAATAAAATATTTGTTATCGCATAATATAAATGTTGGTGATATTAATATTATTTTTCAGGAAAAATATAGCGTAAGTTAATTAGGATTCAAACATTGAACAGCTGAACTCACCTGCAGCTCCCGCTGAACAGCTCTCAGTGCTTTCGCCATCCTACTCATCTTCGCATTTATTTATTAAATATAATGATAACGTTAGATAACATACTCACTAACAATATGTATAAGCAAAAACAATGACGGACACAAAATCTCCAGAGTCGGAGAGTGAAGCGAGTGGTGGAGTGGTATTTTTACCGCGAATGTTTGAACGCTTAAACTGTAACGTACCATCTCAGAAACGGGGGACAGTGAACAATCTTATGGTGTACAATTTGTTTAGTAGAAACAAGTAGAAAGGATATTTTACCATTAATTTGTATATATAAGCTAATAAAATGGAAATTAAGAAAATCCATTCATATTTCACACATTATTTTTTTTTATAAAATAAAATATACTATTTAAATGACCCCTTCAATCGTACAAGGAAGATTCCTTCCCTGTTTCGTGGAAAGCAAGCAGGGCGGAGCACCACGTCATTTCCTTCCTGACTGCCCTCTGCTGTTGTGGTGCTGCTGACATGATTATATCTATTTAAATTCATTATAAATCCATTTTTAAATGTACGTGTTTTATTACAACAAAGATGTTCTGTTTGCTTTATGCATAATTATGCATAATTATGTATAAGCAAAATAAATGTTTATATTAATAGATGATGTCTATTTACAGTCATCAAAACTCTGAGTCCATTCGGATGTTTAGATGTTCTATATATTATTTTCTTTCGTATAAATGAATAAATAAATAAACAAACCCTTTCTCATGTTGTGTATTGTGGTCTTTGGCCCCCTCCAGTGTCAATTCACTGCAGTGACCCTTCTAGTTCACCCTACAAACGCCATGCGAGTGGAAACACTAGAAGCGATTCTTTCGCAACCACTTCCGGTCTATCACTCTTTCAGTCTGGAGTGGAAATACTGGAAACCAAAGAAGCTCAGAGTCGGAAAGAAGGGAGGTAAGAAAAAAAGAAGAAGATTGTACCATGGTGGACAAAAGAATGTGTTCAAGCAATTAAATCTCGAAATAAAGCTTTTCAAATGTTAAAAAAGAATCATAGTTTTCAGAATTTTATTGAATATAAAAGGAAGCAAGCGAATGTAAGGAGAATCATCAAATATACAAAAAAAAAGAGTTTTGGAGGAAGTTTTGTAACACTGGGAAGGAAAACAGAAATAGGTCAAGTATGGGGAATGATAAAAAGAATGAATGGGATAAAAAGAGAGTGTGGTTGTCCAATTTTAAGGGATGGAGATACAACAGCTGTAAAAGATGAAGAGAACGCAGAAATGTTGGCGGAAAATTTTGTTAAAATACATAAATCAGGCCATATTAGTGAGGAGGGAAAAAGAGGAAGGGAAAGGACGTTGGAGCAGTATAAAGAGATAATACAGAATGAGGAATACAATAATGATCAACTAAATATGACATTTACGAAGTCAGAGTTAAATCGAGCTCTTAGAAAAACCAGGAAATCAGCTCCAGGTATGGATCAGATTTGCTATTTAATGATAAGTCATCTCAGTGAATTATCCAAGGATGTTTTATTAAAAATGTACAATAAAATTTGGGAGGAAGGAAAATTACCACAAAGTTGGAAGGAGGCGGTGATAGTTCCAATACGTAAACCTGGGAAAGATTGTACAAATCCAGGAAATTATAGACCTATTGCTTTGACGTCTAATATTGGTAAGATAGTGGAAAAAAATGGTGAATGAAAGGTTAATGTATCATGTGGAAAATAAGAATTTTTTATCCAAATATCAGAGTGGTTTTAGGAGAGGGAGAAATACAATGGATCCGGCTGTGTGTTTAGAACACGAAATAAGAAAAGCACAAATAAATAGAGAGAGTGTAGTGGCGGTCTTCTTTGACATAGAGAAAGCATATGACATGATGTGGAAAGAGGGGATGTTAATCAAATTATGTAAGTTAGGTATCAAAGGTCAAATGTATAGATGGATCAAGGATTTTTTTATCAGGAAGAGCAATAAAAGTGAGAATAGGAAATAGTTATTCAGAAAAGTTTGTGATTGAAAATGGAACTCCACAAGGAAGTATAGTGAGCCCTTTATTGTTTTCCATAATGATAAATGATGTATTTGAAGATCTGGATAATGGGCTGGGGTTTTGGCTCTTTGCTGATGATGGGGCAATCTGGAAAAGGGGAAGGAATACTGACTTTATTGTTAAAAAAATTACAGGAGGCTATTGCAATAGTTGAAGTATGGTCATATAAATGGGGTTTTAAATTCTCAGTTGACAAAACAAAGATAATGTTTTTTACAAGGAAAAAAATTGGAAGTGAGGTAAAACTAAAAATTGTATAATCACCGGAAGGCTTGCGGCAACCACGTGACGACCCAGGGCTGGACTCCGTTTCATCCACGGTGAAAGACGATCCGGCGATCCACAGCGCGATCCACAGCGCGATCCACAGCGCGATTTCCTCAGCGACCAGCACAGATCAGCTCCAGGCATGACGAAGCAGATATTGTCCTCTTTTGGAAGGCCAAAGAAAATAGTTTCGCTTTCACAACGAAACACACAACGCCTTCACGACATGGCAGTGGCGGCAACAACAATACTACAGCGAGAATAAAAGTTACGCCTTCTTTTGAGAAAGGAAAAATTGAAATCGCATCATATGACCCCTTTAAACAGTGAAGGAATCGTTGTCATGATGTGAAATGTTATTATTCACCTTCATGTCATTTCAGATCCGTGTGACTTTCTTTCTTCCTGGAACACAGCAGGTGATGTTTAGTAACATGGCACTGCTCTTTCATGTAAGGCAACAGCAAAAGCACACAGCAAACAGGAACGGTCAAAAAGCACAACAAAACACCTTATATGACTATATGTGCACTATATTTCAAGTCTCATGAAGTAGTTATACGGAATTTAACATGCTCTCAAATCTTACTTGCTCTGCTGCATTTTTAAACTTGAGCAATTATGACGCATTTGACATCATTTGACATCATTAACATGAAAGTCTGCACAACATATCTTGTGTCCATGTTAAATATATGCTCGCATTGAATAGAAAGATCAGCGTGAACAGTATTCAAAACATCTTTCTTTGTGTTACACATGAAGTCACACAGATTTGGATTGACATGAGGGTGAGTAAATAATTTTGGTTAAAAAAAATGATCAAATGGATATCACCATACTTACCCAGTTGATTATTCACATTATATTAAGACAATTGTTCTGTATTACAGGTTTTCTGAAATGTTGTTTAAATATGCAAACAAGGCATTATGTAATTAAATATGCAATGATTTGCATACATTTCCAGAACAGAAATCTGAACATTGAATAAAGCCAGACTCAAAGTTCTTGTTTAAATTTGAAATGTGTTGACATATTAGAGTTAAAGGTTTTTACAGAAAGGATTTTGGATTTCTCTTTTTATCACTCATTTAAAAAAGATAGATAGATAGACTGTAAAGTATGGTCTATGTAAGTGCTGATGAAGAAGAAAAAATTCATAAAAAAAAAAAAACTCTAAAGCCATTACAGATATGTATTGTAGTTGAAATCTACAGAAATGTATAGATAAAGTGTAATAAAATAATCACTTAAAGGGTTAATTCACCCCAAAATGAAAATATCAGATCAAATGAAAATGCCATCGAAACTTTTCTGAAGATAGTCGGATACATTCATATAAAACACCCGCGCCGTGTTATGATTTTGAAACGTGCAGTGCTCATGTTTATTCAACGAAGTCAAACACCACAAATAAATCAATGTATGGGAAACTGGTAATGTATATCGAAATATCGGAAATGTGTTTAAAAATCATATCACCGTTATTGAAAAAAATTATATCGCGATACATATTGATATTGAATTATTGTCCAGCCCTAGTCTGAGCCATCGGATTTGATCAAAAATATCTTAATTTGTGTTCTGAAGATGAACGAAGGTCTTAGGGGTGTGGAACGACATGAGGGTGAGTAATTAATGACAGAATTTTCATTTTTGGGTGAACTAACCCTTTAAATGTGTATTTTGGCTTTTTTTTTCACTAGTCTGAGAAAACACATTATAACAGCAAAATTTACTTTAAAATTGACCAATGAATGAAAAAGCATAGGTCTTAAGATAATAATGCACAGCATTTATCATCATTTATATATATATTTTTATTTATTTATTTATTATTGTTTATCTTGCCATATGACAAACAATATATAGGTTAGGTTTTAGGTTGATATGGTTCAGTAGCCTGATGTCCTCCTGCCCTCTTTCTGTCTGGGCCACTTGATCTGTGGTTAGGCAACGCGTCTTATCTCAGCAGATAATGACGTAAAATGGTTTCAAAAGATTAGACTCTTACCTGAAACCACTTGCCAATAAAACACGTTTGGATTGAATCAACTCATAAAACTTATCAAGATACGTTTGACTGTTCTTATGCTTTATTTTCTCTTTCTTACAGCTTGAAATGCTGTTGATGGGTGTTTACCTGGATTGCTTCTGCTGATCAGTCCAATGCTTAGTTTCCTATGGGGGTGGTTACTACTATGGACCCAGATTCGGCCCAGCAACCGCAGGGCAAGTTGGGTAATGGTGGCCATGCGCTAATAGGGGCCAATCTGGGTGCTCGGGGAAAGCACTACGTGTGCGGCTCACTTGCTGCGTTCACCAACATCATCGTGACCTTTCCTATTCAGAAAGTGTTGTTCCGGCAGCAGCTTCACGGGGTCCGAGTGACCGAAGCCGTCCGCCAGTTGCAGAGGGAAGGGTTGAGACATCTCTACCGAGGGCTCCTGCCTCCACTGCTGCAGAAAACCACCACCGTGGCCATCATGTTCGGCCTGTATGAGGATTTTTCCCGGTTGCTTTTGCATTATGCCCACAGAAGTGGTGCGCCTGAGCTTGTTACGCGGAGCGTTGCTGCCGCGCTGGCCGGGACGGCTGAGGCTGCTCTTACGCCGTTCGAAAGGGTGCAAACACTGCTTCAGGATCACAGGCACAACGGGCGTTTCAATAACACCGCCCACACCTTCCGGACTCTCCTGCGGGACTATGGTGTGAGGGAGTGCTACCGCGGGCTGGTCCCGGTTTTGTTGCGAAACGGGCCTAGTAACATTCTGTTCTTTGGCTTGCGTGGGCCAATTAAGCAGCAGCTGCCTGATGCCCGAACCCGTATGGGTCACATGGCCAATGACTTTGTGTGCGGCGGGCTGCTGGGGGCAGCGCTGGGTATCATGTTCTACCCTCTGAATGTGGTCAAATCTCGAGCTCAGGCTCAAGTCGGGGGCAAGTTCGTTCCTTGCCATCAAGTGCTGATGACGGTGTGGCGGGAACGCGGCGGCAGCATCGTGCTGCTCTTCCGCGGAGCGACGCTCAACTACCACCGATCTCTTCTGTCGTGGGGGATCATCAATGCAACTTACGAGCTTCTCCTGAAAGTTTTCTGAAGACTGGGGGTGGATGGCGGAGTGCACTTTTTCTGAAGTAAGCCAAATTGTTTTTTTTTTTTTTTTTTTTCCTCTTTTAAAAGAGGTCTGGACACTGCCAGCTCCCATAGTGCACTTAACATCTGCACTTTAAGGGATAGTTCACCCAAAAATGAAATTCTGTCATCATTTATTCACCCTCATGTCATTCTAAAGCTTTCTTTTTTCTGTGGAACATGAAAGAAGATATTTTATTGTTTCTGGTCCCATTGACTACCTAGTAAGTCATACAGGTTTGAGGGTGAGTAAATGATGACAGAATTTCCATTTTTATGTGGACTGTTCCTTTTGCATCTGCACTTAATGATCTGTACATCCATGTGCTGATAACTACATATAAAGTCCACCCATATTACTTGGCTACTATAAGTGTTGTGAAATATATCGCCACATGTCCTGGTTCTCATATCAGTTTTTTAGTGGCTCTTTTACTCACTTTTTGGGGGTCTGTGGAACACGGATGGAGAAAGCACAGAGTTGCACTACTGACAGTACATTTCTTCTACTTTTCTGTAGTTTTGTTTAAAATACCTGATGCACAAACTCTGAACTGGAGCATTACAAGCCATGTGTCATTGTAAGTGTTACGTGCAGGTTGATCGATGGTTCGTAAATGGGTGTGACTTGTGGACCACACAAAGCGAGAGACGTCTGTACAAGCCCATGATGCTAGTGTTTTTGCCAATCAGTAAAAGTCCTGATGAATTCAAAGATGTGATCATTTTCATGAAATGCTATTTTTATGTAACCAGTGTTTTGTGACATGAATGACATTTTCACATTGTTGTGGGTGGAAAGTAAACAAGTAATTCCACTTATTGCGTTCTGGGTGTCATTACTGAACCGTTTATGATGCTTCAAAGTCAACATGAGATCAAAGCAGACTATTTATTACTTGTCTGTTATGTTATGTGTAATTTTTCACCTAATATTTGGTCTTTTGTATACCTAAATATTAGGTATATTATTGGTATAAATATGCTTATTAGAGTATCTGTCCTTAGCTTAGCAACATGCTAACACCATTCACTTGACATGAGGAGAGTTATTTGTCTATGGAGCTTATAATATGACAAAACAAATTGAATTTGTATTGTGTAAATTAGAATTATTGACGAGTGTCATTTAACAAAACTGAATATTATGTGGCATTTAACAGTTCTGAATTTAATTTACGCAATACAAATTCAATTCGTTTTGTCATATTATACGCTCCATATTTGTCAAGGCGGGTGTATTTGCATAATGCTTTTCACAATATACATATTTGAAGGCAGCTTTACAGATTATATTGTAATATGTATCGCTACCCTGATGGAAAATCTCATGGTACATGATTTTGTTCAAATCACCCATGCTATTGAATAATTCTTTATTTGTGTGGTTTGGGAAGTTGCATTCAAATCAGTCACTTAGAAGGTTGCATTTGAGTTAGGTTAGGATGCTGCTTTGAAAGTAGCTGTAGACCACTATGCAGCGGACTACATTTTGGAACAGCAATTTTTCTTTCTTTTCAAGCCTTTTATCATTCACACACTTTAAAGCCCTGTACTTAATTATGTGAAGCTGAAGCTGTGCACTTCCCTCCGTTCTGTTCGGACAATGTTAACCTCCGGGGGACAGAGAAAGACACGGAAACATCCCATCACACAGGGTCAAATGGCATTCAAGGACAGATGCTTTTAGAGCCATTTGGCAGAACCATCTCAGGGCATCATGTGGGAGGCTTTTCCTTCTCTGAGCCTTGAGTAAATCCCAGGGATTGGTTTGGAAAAATATTCTAAACGATTATAGGTTGATGGAGGCAGTAGACCAGACGTTTTATTTGAATTAAAAACATTTTGATTCTGTAGTGGCTCCTGCTTTCGTACAAGTACCTATGTGTTTCACAATTGCGATGCAATTTAAAAACTTGAATAGATTTTTATGTTTTCTTTAGTAAATTTGAGTAGTGCAAAATTGGCCACCATAACAGGGTAATGTTACATGGTTGCTTGGCTGTTCTGGGTTAAAATATAAAAAAGGTCAATGTCACATTTAGCACAACTCAATGTGGGAAAATAATCAGACAAGAATGATATACATTTTGATTTTAAGATCAAATCATGTTTTTCTGACTGCTCCAGGTTGTATACATTCATAAATAAACAAAAAGAATGATTGGTTCTTTTAACTTTAAAGGGATACTCCACCCCAAAATGAAAATTTTGTCATTAATCACTTACCCCTATGTCGTTCCAAACCCGTAAAAGTTTCGTTTGTCTTCGGAACACAATTTAAGATATTTTGGATGAAAACCGGGAGGCTTGTGACTGTCACATTGACTGCCAAGTAAATTACACTGTCAAGGTCCAGAAAAGTATGAAAGAAATTGTCAAAATAGTCCATCTGCCATCAGTGGTTCAATCTGAATTTTATGAAGCGACGAGAATACTTTTTGTACACAAAGAAAACAAAAATAACTTTATTCAACAATTCGTCGTCTCCATTTTAGAGAATATCGACTGAACGTAATCTGCGTATACTGTTCTACTTGTCTGTGTCAGCCGCACCACACGGATACGTTTTCTACGTTTATTTACGCTTTGCTTTGAACGAAAACAGCGTATCCATGTGGTCAGAGGCGGACTTAACCATTAGGCAAAGGTAGGCGACCGCCTTGGGCTTCCAAAAGCCAAGGGCCCCCTAAAATGCTTTTTATATGCGAGATGCGCGTTCAGTGCGGACGCACAAGTGGTTGCTGTGGTGTTCATTACCACGACAACCGTCTGTGCGTCCGCGTTGAACGTGTTTCTTAGCAAAAGTAGGGCGATGTAGAAAATGGGGACGGAATCCCGGAATCTATTCATAAAAACGGAATTTACTGTGTAACAAGGAATGTGACGGAATGAACGGCGCAGACGCGCTTTTCTTTTGCCAGTTTGCTATTTAAGCACACGCAACGCTCGCAGTTGTCGTCTGTAGTAGCTAAATAGTAATTTTGCCATTTAATATTCACATACACTAGTCCATATCGCGGTTTGATTGAAGTGTACTGAATTGCATTTGATTTATT